GGTGTGTTTGATGAGGACTGAAAGGCTACCGCTAATCGCAGCGAGCTGCATTTTTAAGAGAGCGACTAAAATCATACCATGACATTCACCGATCCCCATCGTATGATAAACAAAGGACACATCCAAAATGAGAAAGCCAAAGAATACGCATACAAACACCTCTACCTTTCACCTAGCCCGCGAAAGCAAAACAACCACAGCCCTGGTATCTGAGTATGAGATAAGGGATGATGTCACTGGATGCATGGTGGAGGCGTACAAGGAAGATTGTTTCATGTCTGAGATCATCCGTAGACTCTAAGGCCCAGGACAAAGCCATGAATAATGAGTTTACATTAATTAGTTGAAGGACTCCTCTTCCTAGAGAAGGCCGGGATTTAAACCTTTGTGTGTTCTAAGTAGCGAGTCCTTACCTAGTTTGTTTCTGGGAGAATCTTATGACAGGACATTTCGGTTATAAAGAAGACATCAGCGTTTCTGGTGGCCGACAATGCTAGAGGATGCTAAGAAGTGCATTGAAACGTGCCAGGTTTGGGACAAACGTAGGGCACAAGCACCACTTGGCTTGGTCAAGCCTTGGTCAAGCCATTGCAGATTCCGGCCGGAGCGGGACAGAGTCTATCCATGGACTTCATGAATACCCTCCTGACCAGCAAATCAGGCAAAAGGCACATATTATTCGTAAGAGTAGACAAATTCTCCAAATGCACTAGACTAGTTGCTCTGTCTGAGACTGCAATGACTGAAACAATAGGGTTATAGATTTTAAAAAAATCTACAACCCCATATTTTTTATTTATTTTTTTGGTTATTGTTTGCCCACGAAAAAAACTCTGTGAAAAAAAAGTTTCTTGTTTTCTTTTTTGTTTTCCCCTTTGTCTATTTTGGACTTCTTAAAAATAAAGCGGAACTTCAAAAAAATAATAAAAAATATGAGGTTGTAGATCTTTTCTGGAAAAGATCTACAACCCTATATATATGTGTATATATATATCGTCACAAACAGAATGTATATTACTCATTACTTGCCCCCCAAAAAAATATGCCCGTGTCTGTGCGAATCCCGCTCAAGTGCGCTTGGGATTGAGCGGAGCTCAAATAATTGAGCTCCGACCCCGCGCTCAATCAGCGCACGGTTACACAGCGGTTTACCAGTGAATTATAGAAGAAGACTGTGGAGCATATGGGTTCTTAGCTGGAGATGACATCTGGGAACCACCCAGAAAGTGACGGGCAAGCTGAGCAGATGAACCAGGTAGTACAGCACCTGCTGAGGCCTTATAGCAAGCCCAGCCAAGAAGACTAGGATGAGAAGCTTCCTCTCATCGCCAGCCTGTACAACAATGCAGTGCATAGTACTACGGGACACGCTCCTCATCAGCTGGACCTTGGTTGGAAGCCTCAGACCCCGTTAGATTTTCTCCTCCCAGATTTGAGATCGTCTGCAGCACCAGCATAGAATTTGCAATAGAGTGTCCAGTTGATGTAGCTCAGTGGTTAGAGCACCGGCTGGAAATGCGCATTGTGGTACGAGGTTGCGGGTCAAATCCGCAGCCTTGCGCATGGACACCGACAGGGCGTTAGAATAACGCACGGCTGGACACACACCCCCTTGGGCTGACGCATGGTAAGCTATTACAGACACTGCCCGCGCACCACCCAAGGGTTGTCCACGGTGTTGTATGTGGGGTCTTGACATTAAGTGGCTTGTGGTTGTTCTGTTGATCCCCCCAGTCTGGCATATCACACACAGGTGCGGTTTGCGACTGTCGTTCAAATGGTAGAGTCTTCAGGTCACATGTCATAGATCATGGGTTCAAGTCTGGCTTGGGACTTTGGGGAGGTTCTTGTCCAGCTTGGCCTGTCATCTCTTCAACGAACACATAGTGCCCTCTATATAGTACTACACATATCTGGCCTTCGGGCTCATACATCTCACTATACAGTTACACAGAGCACACTTTGCCTTCGGGCAGACACAAACATGGCTTGTGAACATATGTACACATAGCCTACGGGCTCATACAAACATACATACCCTCTGGGCACACATATACACACAACTATGATACTGGGCTGAGGGGATCTATCAGGTATATGACGGGGTCTACTCATGCATGGCTTAGCTCTAGGGTAGGGTAGGGATATAAGTCGCTCCGGCTAGTCTGAGTTCCGCCTAGCCTTGGGTAAGTTAGGGGAAGGACGCTAGGATGTGTCCGTGGGCGCTGGCTCACCTTGCTCAGGTACTCCTGCTGGGTAGACTCTCTGAATTGGGAATGTAGAAGATTGCATGAGCCTGGCGTCCGAAGTTCCCGTACGGCAAGTTCATCCCCTTCCGCTTCCACTAGGGCTGGGGGGTTGGCCCAGCCTTGGTGCTTGTCACTGCTGTCTGGTCCAAGCTGCCCTCGATACTGGTAGGGTGATGGTCCTGAGTGCTGGTCACACTAAGGTAGGATAGTAGGGACAGGGGATGCACTGGGAGTACTAACGTGGGGATGGGTAGGGTAGGTGGCCTATCCTGTCAGAACAACCATTGGCTGCTGCTGCCAGCAATCACCACGGGTCTGGTCCTTGGCCTCTACAACACGCTGGGCTTATATATTAAAAAGAAAAAAAAAGCTGCAGCAGACTCTTGAACAAATTCGGAAATCTCAGGATGCTATGATAGCATCGGAGAACAAACGTAGAAGCGAGTTAAAGTTTCAGGTGGGGGAGCRGGTCTGGGACCTGGGTTAAATCGTCGGAGTTTAGTCAGGAAATASACAATTCTCAAAAACGGATGCTGCAGTATTATGGGCCATGGCAACTCCTTAACGGCGTGGGCTCAGACGTAGATGGCCCATCATACGTCATAGGCATACGGCCACACCTACATACTTACCCAGTCTTTCACGCATTGAAACTCCTTCCTTTCGTAGAAACTGACGAGTTCCCTTCAAGAAGGTCGCAGCTGCCCTCAATCACGGATGGATATGTCGACATCAATGAGATCGTGGAGCATATTTAATGCCTGTTGCTAAGCCAGTTGGCCGAGGAAGACCGTTGAAGCGCCATATGCAGTTCGGATTTAGGCAATCTATCGATCCCAAAGAAGATCGGTGGTTCACAAGAGAGGAGCTGATTAGCCCCTCAAGTCGTATTCAACTACGAAAGGATGATTAGAGGGAAAGCAAGTGGATTGAGGGCTTACACAGAGGACTTTCAAAGCGGAGGGGGAGGGAGTGCAAGGCATGAGGCTCTCGGCCTAGGTTGAGAAAGGACATGAGCCCGCTGGAAACTGTCTGCAGCCGCCCTAAGCGAAGGTGGGCCCTGAAAATTCAAGGGGAGCTTTTTCTAAGGCCAATGTGAGCAGAAATGGGCCTCCTGGGTTGGTTACTGCATCCAGCATCTTCAATCGACCGGTAGGCCTGACTGGTTGAAGATGCTGGGCCCAGGGAACTTACAGTTGAGCCTCAAGCACATTCTGGAAGGGCCCTGGGCGCAGCTACTGGGACAGACGCCTTGCATCCAAAGCCTTCCTTGCCCAGCCAGCCAATGCACAAAAGGAAGTGAGGGCACTCACTTCCCAGCATTCTGGCTGGCAGGATGGCGGCAGTGCTACTGGATTGCGGGCTTACTGAACGAAGGTTGGGCAGAATGAGGAAGGGCGCTGGCGAGGCACAAGGAAGAAGCTGTGTGAGTGCAGCCTGAGCGCAGCAGCCATAGCCTGGGAGGTTGGGAAGGAGGAATAGGTGGGGTTGGAGTACTATAACTAACGGGGAGATGGCATTACCCCCGTACCAGTGGATGGTTGGAAACTCCTGAAGAGATCTAGTATATGCCTAGATAGAAACGCGTCGAGGATTGTGTATATCTTTACAGTCTTTTGGAATTGAAGATATTTTCTTGTTTTTCTTACATCTTCGTTTTCCCCTCTGTGGGAACAGTTGGCCGCTGTCCTGTCCCCTTTGAACTCTCTCTCTCTCTCTCTCTCTCTCTCTCTCTCTCTCTCTCTCTCTCTCTCTCTCTCTCTCTCTC